ACAAAACCCAGACTGCATGTAAAATGAATGAATTACTAATATATCCGAATATCCGAAAAATGTATTGGGGCACATAATAAATTGTTTGAGAATGTGTGGCAGCCATGTTGGCCACCGGCGTGTTCTGTGAATGTGTGCCACCATCTTTGAGGCGGGGAGCATGATGTTACATGACGCCATGCATGCGTGGCGTCACGTGACGTCACACGCCGATATTGGCCCCACCATCTAGATATACACCAAGATGGCGGCGCCCAACACGTGCGGTGTTATATGACGTCATACGCCCTGCCTTCAGAACATGCCAATGGCTGAATCCAAAATAGCATATAAATGTGTTTTGTTTGATGAAACAAATGAAACGTTTTTAGTTTTTGTTCATTTCATCTGAAATGAATTTTTAGTCTTGGCACATGTCTAATAATATGTGGGTGGGGGTGAGAGGGGGCAGTTTTCACTTTTTTGAAATAATTTTTTACATTTTGTATTATTTTTAAAAAATATATTATGGGGGGGGCGGACGAGGAAGCGCTGTCATATCGGATGGCCAGCGGCGAGGAGGAGAGAAGCCACCCCGAGGACGAGCTGTGTCAGCCGCTTGGCACCTTTGTTGCCACGGCGCCCTGTGCGGCCGCGCAGCTCGCACACCCCTAAGGTTAACAACTGATAATGAGATCTGCCAGCACAGTACTTAGTTAAAGGCTAACTTTACTTTTGTGACCATGTTTCATGCTACATCCATATTCAAGGTGTAACATGAAACATAGTCACATCACAACACCCCCACCCCTCCTGCACCAAAATTTACCTGAATTACGGGGTTCTTTTCTCCCTGCAGGCTGCTGCTCTTTTTTTTTTTAATTCGGAGCAGCACTACATGGCTCCACCCACACAGCCCCATTATCCATTAACAGATCCTTTGACAGGATCTGTGAATGGAGAAACTACAGGTCCCATTTGCCACTGAGGCAGAGACTTTTAGTTCTCTCGTTCTTGATACCCCCTCAGAAGGCCTTGTACCCCATTCCCCTTCAGTTCTGCCAGTGGTATTGAAACTGAAGTCAACGGAGCAGCACAGATTGTTCTAAATCATAAATAAACTATTCAGAACCAGCATTTTTGGAAAACAACAACATCATTCATATCTTAAAACATATGGGTATGGTGTCCCTCACAAATGTATTCCATGAAGGGATTTATCAATAAATAAATGTCATTCTCTGCATTTTTTTAAATTTACAATGTCTGATTACAGACACTAACAGAGAGGGAATGGTAGGGTTCCTGCTCAGAAAAATACCAGCCAGGTTTCATTTTCATTTTGTGACCTGTAGTAGGAAAATGAAACATGGAATCTGATTGGCTGGTATGTTGACAAAACCTCCACACACATGCCCCCTTATTATTCTAAAGTAAGCTGGTCAAAACAAAGATTGAAGATGCTTGTTTTGTTCTCATTATAGGTTGGCCTGGCCAATTTTAGTTATAAATAGGTAGCTACAATATGCTTGAACCAGACAACACACAAATCTCATTAGGATAGTAATCATGAACAGATCATGAATGGGCTTAATGGTAAGTGTGGGCAGAAGTGACGTCTTCTCGTTGTATATATTTGCAATTTTCATTAAAATTGTGTCTTCTGTGTCATTTATGAAGTCCATAAGAAAGACACTAAAATTATGCACTGTGAGACATGATAAAAGAATAACAGAGTATATAAAATATTACAATACTTAAAGACCCAGTTTATCAATCATAAACAAGTATGTTTATCGTGTAAGTAACTATAGCCGATTTGCCAGTGTGATTTAAAACTCAGGGAAAAGAAAGAAACCACCCTTGCAGTGGAGCTCCCATCACACTGCAAGGATTACAAGGCACCTAGCTAGGGTTGCCACCTTTTCTTCAAGGGAAACCCCAACACTCTAGCGCCACAGGCAGCAATTTTTGTTGTTGTTGAGAATATGGAGGAGAGAGCGAGGGGAGGCAGGGAGGGAAGTGAGTAAGGAGACAAGCTTTAGAAGACTACAAATCTCAGCAATACATTATACAGCAATACAAAATAATATGAAGCTACAGTACATACTCTGTGTTATTCTGGGTTGGTGCCCTGATGTTCCCAGGTGGCCTGTGCAGGCTCTTAGGTGGGCTGGGCGACTCTCAGGTGGGCTGTGCGACACTCAGGCGGGCTGTGCGACTCTCTAATGGGCTGTGCGACACTCAGGTGGGCTGTGCGACACTCAGGTGGGCTGTGCGACACTCAAGAGGGCTGTAAGTAAAATTGTAGAAATGTCACCAGCACACCAGTCCTTTTAAGATAGCAAAAGCTTCATTTATTGAAGTCTTTTGTCATATGACCAAACAAAGTGGGCTCTGCGACACTCAGGCGTGATGTGAAACTCGCAGGTGGCCTATGCCACTCTTAGGTAGGCTGTTCAACATTAAGGTGGGCTGTGCGACTATCAGGTGGACTGTGCGACTCTCAGGAGGGCTATAGTGTCTCACCAGGGGTTCATAGGCGGGCAGCACGGTGTTGGAGCCGGAGGAGGAGAAGGAGCAATCACCCATGCGACTGGCGAGGTCCTCAGGAAGTGCTGCATCTCAGGAAGTGCCGCATCTGCCTGAAACCCAGATCTTGCTCTGAGCTGTGGGTACCTGTAAAAAGGCACAGGCTGCCCGCGGCTCAGAGGAAGTATAAAAACCCCAGTGGTGAATAAAAGCCACCAAAAGAAAGCTCTATCTGTCCCCAAAAAATGGTATGAAAATCGTTTCAGTAAAGCGTTGCATGACAGAATAAACATCAGTCAAAGTACCGCAGCGCTGAATACTGAAAAATGGCCTGGCCAGGAAGGGGGTGAAACACTATGGCCTTCAAGTGGTTAAGGCAGATGCCGCTGCCCAAGATCGCACTTCCTGAGGACCTTGGCAGCCGCATCTGTCAGAAAATGTAAAGTGCCGACAGACACAAGACTCCAAAACTGGACTGTCTGGGTGAAAACGGGATGGGTGGCAACCCTACACCTAGGTTACCAGTAAAAAGGACATTTACATATCCTATATCTTGCTCCCCCAGCAGCTGGCACTTTCCTTTTCTCCCTGATGCTCCAGGTTGTAGGCAGTCCCTCGGCATCCTCACATACAAAGCATTGCTATTGGCCTGCACTGTATTTGACTACTTCAGAGTGCCTGCAACCGCCAGAGCACCTTAGAGAAGAGACTAAGGGACCTGATTGCATAGTGTGGAGGTAGCATGCAGGTAAGTAAAAGTCCTTTTTCCTGGTACCTTGGCCATAAACAAGCAGGAGAGCAAGAGAGGATTTGTACTTCCCAGGAGTTCAGCTTTAAAGTACCGGGGCCACTCGTCACAGACCCAGAACGGATATGCAGCAGGTAAAACTCAATAAGAATTCCTTCTCTCTATACTTGTTCCAGGTTGCAGCCAAAGCACTAGCGTGATAGACACAATAATCATTTTCAGAAGGAAAGGTCAGCAATGGTAGCCATCTCTTAAAGCAGACTAGCTGTGCATGCTGATATGTAATTATCTTACATTTATTAGTTCATTAGTTAAACAAACATATTTTGCTTTTCCTTACAATTATTGTTTTTCCACTTCCTGGTTCTCTTGGACATTAGTGATGTAATGTGCCCAAGTGTTGCATCCTGGGAAGGTTACATCACAGAGCATTGCTAGGAAATCTCATCTGTAATCTCACTAGATCTCAGGGAAAGGCATTTTTCCCCAGAGATGATGTGCATGGTAACATGTCCTAGTCACATACCAGAGTTCCAGGAAGTAAAGGGAAATCTAGTAATCTGCCCTCATTAAAAATGGCCACTATGAGAAGAATGGGGAGGAAAAGAGAAATAAGGTATGCAAAGAATAAAAAGCCGGCAATTATCTATAAGTTTGTAGATTGCCATTACTAAATATTTCTAAAGGTGTATTTGTTGTCATTTCAAAGATATAGGTAAAGTTCCTCTTGAATACAGGTTTCCTTTCATCTGCATCATTTATTTTACCTATACCCTGTATCACCTGGCAGACCAGAGGATTTCATAAGAAGGGTGTAATGTAAGCCATATTTCCAGATCCCTTTAAGGATAGCCTAGGCCTTGACCTCTTTGTCTATGAATTATCTTCTCTTCTCTATGGGCTTCATTTAATATGCTAACTTTGTTTTTGCTTAGGAGAGACCCACAAACTACAAAGAAAACATACATTACATTAAGACAAAAAAATAACTGCATTTACTTCCTACTACAGGTATCATACTATTATCTTTTAGATTGTGAGCTCTCATGAGCAGGGTCCTCCTAACCCTCCTGCATTAAACTGTAATGAAACTATATCTTTATTTTGTAAAGTGCTACACCAGCGGTTGGCGATATATAAATCCTATATAATAATAATATAATATAATATTAATATACATGACTGTGTACTGGCTAAGAATAATGAATGATGTCATTTACACAGTCACTGCTAAAATATAATACTAGTACCAGTATAACAGCACACAGTGCAGGAACTAAAACAGGTTATAACAATGACATTGATTATTTACAAATACACCATAACAAAGAAGACATCAAAGTAAATAAATACAACCTTTTAGAATGTATAAGCACCGCTATCAGTAGGTGAGGTTATTACAGATCACATAATCATTGTCCCCACACCAAGAATGATTCCCCTTTTCACCCAGTGCCTGCATAATTCCTCATAAACTGCAATGTGGATTTCAAGAGGCCTTGGCAGCAATAGAACAGGGAGGCGGTGGGAGGGAGCCAGTGGTCATGCTTAGTGACTTGAACCTTAAAGCTGGTAATGGAAACTGTCACGTCTATTGACCCTGAACATGAGGATCATCCAATGCACCCACAAGCTCAGAATCCCCCCATTATTTCTCTCCCATGCTTTGATCTGATGATGCTAGTGATTGCACCAGACCCTCTCCACAGTCTCACACACACACACACACAGCTGACATTACCTGCTTTCTAAAGGCCGGGCTGATGCAGATCTGCTGTAAGCCAGTATTACCAATGGAAAGGGAATAACACAGATGCAGGAGAGATGGAGGAGGCACATAAACACAGGCTGCGGTTCAATCCCTGTGTGTGTCAGTCATAAAGGAGAGAGATGGCTGTGGTTTCCGGCATCTCCAAATAAAGACAAGTGTTCTGGGGGCTGCAGGCAGGGGAGAAGGGGTGGGGAGAAGGAGGACAGGGATGGAGAGATGGACAGAGGCAGACTGTTACTGAACAAGCTGCTGCCTCTCTACCATGTGTGTGCAGTGCAGTCAGAACCAAGCAGATGGTTCACTGACAGCTCAGAGATGATTGCAAGAACTGCACTCAGCCTTCCATTGCACAAGCTATTAGCTGTATTGTCTCCCCTTATTTTGTAAAGCGCTGCACAAACTGTTGGCGCTATATATAAATCCTGTATTATAATAATAATAATTTCTGATTCCCCTTTTTTAGTTCCCTGATTCAATAAACAAATACGATTTGCTTCCCTTGAAGTGGTGTTGCCCCCACACTGCAAGGGGTTAAATGTTTGTTTAAAAGAGAACTAAAGCCATACCGTTTTTTGGCTTTAGTCCTCTTTTAGATCACAGGAGGGCATTTACTAATGTCCTCCTGTGACCCAAACTTAGCATATAGTGGGCTGCTGCCCACTAAATGCAGACAGCGCAGAACCGAACCGCACCGCAGCCAGGAAGATTTCCAACAATATTGTCAGGATCCGCCCCGCTGCCTGATTGACAGCTGACTCTGCCTCTCTAAAACCAGATTCAGCTGTGGCCGCCTCCTCTGTCTGTCCCTCCAATGAGCACTGGAGGAAAAGAGAGGGGAGGGGGGAATCCCTGCAGGTAACTGTGACTGACACTTACTGCTCTCTGCATGGACAAGATCGTGAACTGAGTGATCAGCAGTTTGTGATTGTTCAGTTCTCAGTTTTACTCTCCCAATAGTTCTCCTTTAAGCCTAGGGTACCTGTGTATAGGGCTTTTACTTACCTGATCCCGACTCGCACAGGCTTAAAGACTGTCACCCCCAGAGTGTCTTTCTTCCTAATACTCTGGCAGTCTGAGGCCACTGATATCATCACTTAAAGTGACATTAAAGGCAAAAAAATTTTTCCCTCCCCCCCCATGTAAATGTTAGCACTTACCTTAAATGATGTCTCTTTTTCCAATCTTCCTCTTCTTTCCCCATGTTTTCATCTGTCCCTCCAGCGGTGTGACGTCACTCCGATCCAGCGCTGACTGCCCTGTCTCTCCGATCCAGCGGTGTCTGCAGGCGGGTGCACACGTCCATAGACTTACCTTGCGTCTCTGCTCGTCTCCCGGCCGAGAATCGGAACTGCGCATGCGCCCGCCCCAAGATCCTTTGCGGCCGTACGAGCAGTTCCTGATTCTCGGCGCGGGAACGAGCGGCGATAACGAGGTAAGTTTTAAATGATTTTAAGCGTTTTTGGTTTTTTTTTACACTGCTTGCCTATATCTACTGCATGCTAGCAGTAGATATAGGCAAAAACAACCGGAGGGTTTAGAACCCCTTTAAGTGCTGGGCCCATAGCCTTGCATTATATGTGAAAACACTGAGGGACAGTCTACAAGACGTAGCATAGGGAAGATGAGGAGAGCGGTGACCTCCGAGTAGCGGGGATCAGGTAATCCACTGATTGCAGTGTGTTATACAGGTGCAAATTATATACAGGTTCAAATACTAAAGACACAATAAATGCAAATGTTTTTGTATATTATTGTGTGTACATTTAATATTAATGTGGACATTACCTTTAAAAACAATAAATAACTTCTGTTCAAGCATTATGCACATTTAGGTTATAACAGGTAAAAAAAATCAGGATTTTTAAAAAGCTGAATTTCAGGCATATGTAAAATCAAAATTATGAAATCACCTGCACTCCATACAGAGTACAGACCTTGGATGAGAGGTTAGTACTTGAAGTGACAACACGGATGACGCCGTGTCAGATACAGTCCATAATAGAAGTCACCAGCACTCGATGATATGTGCAAGAAGTAAAGCACTTTTTATTAAATCGACACATGCGTCAAACAGCCAACGTTTCGGGGCCACGCAGTGTCCCTTCTTCTGGGCGACATAGTGATAGCACATATCTTTGAGTGCTGGTGACTTCTATTAAGGCATATATAAAAGACACAAACGAATGCAGCTCTGTATTCATTCATTCATCATTAAATGCAAGTGCAGCCCCTGCCACCTTCTGTGGAGTGGCTACTAGAAATTTAGCTGTGCTGGTACTGTACTCAGTTTAGCCGATTTGTATTTGGTTATTATGTGGTAAATTTCAGGTGTTTTTCTATTGATTGTACCTGCCTGAGTGGGGCGTGACCCTGCTGCAGTGTGGGGTGACCAATGAGAGATGCATCTTGAATGTCTGTGCCTTACCAGGCCAATCACTGGTAGTTTCATGGCCAGTGGTGCATGCTGGGGGAGTGCAAATACTCTGAGGAATTGCCATGTGCTTAGTTCCAGTCCAGCCTGCCCCCAGGCTTAGCCTGGGGTGCTCATAGAAGGAAATGCTGACTAGGCCTGAAGGAGGCCACACATGTGGACCCTGGAGGGGTCAGGAACTGATTGAGGAGGAGAACCAGAGAAGCTGGATTACTACTGGAGGTGCCTGGTACTGGTATGGACCTCAGGTGCAAGCCTGGTGTCTCTCCTATGGAAGATCTCCCGCCTATCCCTGTTCAGTAGACATGTAAACTGCGTAAATATCTGGTTCAGTTCGGATATTTCGTTATTTTGGGATCCGGATCTGAAATTCAATTCCATTCCGGTTTTGTATCCGTTTGTTTCGAATCAGTTCACGAATATTTTTTGCCAATACCACAGAAAACCATTTGCAGATATTAATACTAAGGCTGAATCGCTTAGACCCAAATAGCATTCGGGTCTTGGAGCCATATACATATATTACTAAAGCGGAGGCTCCTAGACCCCAAAGGCATTCAGGAGCTCCCCAATGCAATTCAGAAATTGGGATCCCGAATGCCATTCGGGTCTGGGAGCCATATACCGTACATATATTACTAAAGCTGAGGCTCCCAGACCCGAATGGCATTCCGAAGTTTCCCAATGCAATTCGGAAATTCGGATCCTGAACGCCATTCGGGTCTATGAGCCTCAGCTTTAGTATTATATGTATATTGCTCCCATGTTGCCGTAGCGGAAATTCTAGTTCAGACTAGTGATGGGCCAAACACCCCCGTGTTCGGTTCGTATTTGAAATCCCGAACGGCCGAAAAGTTCGAATACCAACTCGAACCTAATGCAAGTCAATAAGGGTCGAACTTTCAAAAATGATTGTCCCCTTTAAGAGGGCTTATATGCAAGTTTTTGGTCATAAAAGGTGTATGGGGGTCCGGGTACTGCCCTGGGGGACAGGAATCAATGAAAAAAAAAAAAGCTTTTAACCTTCCTGGCAGTAATCCCGAGTTTAGCTCCAGGTTAATTTTTAGTACCAAAAGCGGTAACCCCGAGGCACACTTGGGATTACACTGTGCGCCACTTACCTTGTCCCTACGAGCCCTGCTGTGTCCTCGGGCCGATGCCGGCATCCGTCTTCTGGGTTCCTTCCCTTGAGCGTGTCCGCGTCGCAGAGGGGCCGAACCGGCGGGAAATTCAAAAGTAAAAAAGAGGGGAAAAAAAGAGAAAAAATACTGAGATAATCAGATCACCAGGGAGGTTAAAGGAGCAGTGATTTTAACATCACTTAAAGGATAAGAATAAAAATGAAAAATTCCTTCAAATATTGTGGCTAGGGGGTCCCCTTAACCTGTTGTGAAGTGGCAAATCTGTACGATGTATAGAACCTGCTGCAGCAATACTGACATTTCTAAAGAAAAAAAAATGACATTTTTTGTTTTTGTTTTACTCTTAAAGTGTGCAGTTCCCCCTCCCAAACAATACCAGACCCTTTAGGTCTGGTAGGAATGTTAGGAGGGACCAATTTATTATTTTTTTAAAGCGCAGGGTTCCCCCTAAAAGTCTTCGAATCAGTTCACGAGGAGGGGGTAAAAAAAGAAAGTGTGTGGGGTTCCCCCTTAAAGTCACTACCAGGCCCTTAAGGTCTGTAAAAAGGGGGGGGGGGGGAACGTGGGGTCCCCTCTAAAATTCCATACCAGACCCTTGACCTGAGCATATAGGCCTTGCAGGGCCGGAAAGGGGTGGGGCGAGCGAGCGCCCCCTTCCCACACCAGGCCACATGCCCTCGGCACTGGGAGGGTGCTTTTCCAGGGTCATTATGACTTTGCCCAATCATGGCTCCAAATGAGTACTGAGCCCTGATTGGGCAGTCTTGCACCTGACCTGTGGTCAGGTGCAAGACTTTAACCAATTAGAGCTTCGGAGGGCGCTTTGCCGTATGGGATGTTTCGCAGTCGAACAGATGGCGAACATCCCATAAAGTTCGGCGTTCGGCGAACGGCCGATGTTCGATTCAAACTCATGTTTGAATCGAACCAGCGGACCCTCCCTAGTTCAGACCCATTTGGATGCATTAAACCGAAAAACACATCTGATTAGCCAGAAAAGTCACATCTCCGATTCAGTTTAGTTTTTGAACGAAATTCGTACGGGATCCGAATTTCGTAAATGGAAATTTTGGAAAGGACGTATGCCAGATAAACGATGTGTATAGGAAAATGCTTTTTGATTTCCTGTTTTCTTTCATTTCTGCTGTTTTCGTGTTCTCCTATATGCCGTTCGTAAAGCCTATTAAATATATCGTGAGCGAACACATACCGGCGTTCGCTCACCTCTCGATCCTGTCACGGCTCTCTGCCTTGACAGGGGAGGGGCTGGATTCCCCCCGCTCCGATCCGCCAGGGGAGGGGGCGGGTATAGCTGGCTCTGCCTCTAGATAGGCAGAGCCAGCTGTCACTCACGCAGCTGGGAGGATCCAGCCTTCAGCTGCGGCGTCTCGGTATACCGTGAGCTGTAGCTCGTGGTATACTGTGGCGTCTCAGTATACCGCGAGCTGTTGTTGTTACTGGACAAGAAGTGGAAGGAAATCTCCTCAATGGGACACTGATGGCAAAACAAAGTTGACAGGGTTTATAACCCTCCCTTATACTAGCCATAAAAAAAAGTTTTGGCTTCAGTTCTACTTTAAACATCATTTTTTCTTTTACTTACAATTACTTTTTTTCACTTCCTAGTAAAATGATACACCGGTGATATAGCCCTGGCCTCACAGATGCATTCTGGGAAAGATTCATCAGCAGTGCCTTTCTGGGAAATCTCATCCGTAAACCATAAATTCTCAT